CGTAGTCGACATCGTCAGTGAGTTTTACCATTCGTAGCACCATATTACAACTCGTCAAAGAGACAAGTGAGGCCCATCCTTCGACCAAACGTGTGCTAAACACTTATGGTATCTCACTTCTGCCCTGGCCTATTCACATTTCCTATATCCTCCTATCACGCCTTCACTGTTACAATTTGTTTCCGTGCTTATTTTGATGTAGTGTGGTGTGCTCCTTTGAGCGGCATTCATAAAAACCCTCCACATTCAACACTGGCGTTCTCATCCACCTTCATTCTTGTGTTGGGAATGTTGATCAGAGTCTGCCATATTGTTACGCAGTCCTCTTTCCCTAGGTCTTACCACAGTCTCTCTCTTGCCCCGTAAGATCTGAATACCCTCTCCCTGATTTACATATTTCATTTGACCCCTGCCACCCCATTTGTGCCACTCGAGGCGTTATTCGACCTCCCCTCCGTCTTGGTGACTAATTCGAGGCTAAAGCCTCAGAGTAAGTGTCATGGTCAGGCCTTTGCCACGTGGACCACGTCTCTTATACAAACCTACTATCAGCCGACTAGCTCCCATCGCCGCCGCGTCTATACTGTTTCTATCTCTAATACCAAGACTATGACTTCATATGCCCTAGTCCCTTTTGTGCCAACCCGCAAACGTTGTGGTTCAACATTGAACCTAACGAAAGCAAGCAGTACCACAACATTTGTTGGTTGGCACACAAGGGACTAGGGCATGGCAAGTCATAGACTTGGTATTAGAGATATAAACACTATAGACGCGGCGGCGATGGGAGCTAATTGGCTGATACTAGGTTTTTATAAGAGACGTGGTCCACGTGGCAAAGACCTGACCATGAGACTTACTCAGAGGCTTGAGCCTCGAATCAGTCATCCAGACGCAGTGTAGGGCTTTTAGAGAGAATGCACGAAGGGAAATACAAAACATGAAAAAAGATCTCCTTATCTATCCTTACATATTCACTATTCAAATAGCTATTCTTAATTAATCTAATGTTATTTTCAGTCAAACCTAAGGGATAATTATTCTCAAGAAATATTAGTTTAAGCCGATCCAGTTCATTATCATAATGGTCTTTATCGGCATGTCTTATACCCCGGATAATCATAGATTTTAAAACGCCAATCTTTGTTTTATAATTCTGGTTGGAGTAAAAAGTAAGGATAAAGCTAGATTGAATGTTCTCAAACTTCTCGTTTTGTTGATTATGACATGTCTGCGGCTAAACGTAAAATTAGAGAAACCATCTAAATAAACCGAATATGAAATACATTGAATGTAAAGAATACCGATAAGAAGAGATGTAAAAATATCTTATGCTTAATTAATAAACTTAAGCCTAGAGAGGATGTTGAGCCGCCTGCAGAAAAGGAGGCAACGCAACTAGTCTTTTCTTGTCTTTGCTATAATCATAGTGACTTCTCTGAACTTTTAGTTCACTCTTTCTCCCTCGCATGAATACAAATGACAAAACGGCTAATCAAGTAGACGTGTGTCCGATCTTACGCAATCGGAGTGATGATTATAACATGTATGTATAAAGTGGGAGATAGTGGTAATCTAACCTTGATAGCCGAGAACAGACATTACTTTTGCTGTCCTAACTACTTTGAGCCATCACTGCTGCTTTCGTGCATAAGCGAACATAAATAGGCACATGCACATACAGAGACAGACAAACGCACAGGCTTAGAGGTTTACATATGGCCGTAACTAACCAAATTACTTTTTACCTCATTAAAGAGATCAGACATAGAGTATATATACAGGTTTTTATGTATGTACCGTTGAGTTTTCTCGACTCGTTAGCTTGAATATGGTCGTGGGATGATGCCATGTTTTGCTGATGTTCGTCATATGACGGACGAAAGCTTAGCACCTTTTCACCGGAATCGAAGGAGATTACCTCGGAAACAGCATCGCCATGAATCTTCCGGTAAATCCAATCGACAGCTGGTCAAGAGGAATCCGCCGTCATCTTCTGGTGGAATTGACCTTCGAATTTAATCACCAAACACTTTCACTCGAAATGGAAGTAAGCTCAACAATTATAAACTTTTCACTGGCTTTAGATTCAGTTAGCATTTGTTAAGCTTTTTGTAACAGCAAATTTCCCAATAACCCATACTTTATGAGAATCAGCAGATGGTATTGCACAGCTCTGCTGGCGTGTCCTCTTCTCAAGCAGCCGATGGGACTAAAGTTTTCACTGTTTGAATCTGCCCCCCCATAGCTCCTGGAACCGCTCTTATCACCATTTTGATGGATACCCTGACAGCCTTCTTGGGCCTCCACTATATAATTGCAACCCCAGTTGGCTGCCTGTTGGCGCCATGCCGCTAAGGCACTGCAGTGGCCATAGCAGTCACGACCTACACAAATCACAGCAAGTCCACCCTGTTGAGTTGATGCTGACTTTCTTGCCCTTTGTGAGGCCGAAAACGAGTGTTCCGCCGTTGTCTGGACCTGAGGAACAAAGGACTTGAGCCCCAGGCGGATGCCACGGATTGAGAACCGCCCAAGGATAGTTTCTTTGGTGGCCCTAACTGGCAGGAGAAGAGGACCTCCTTGTTGGAGAAGGAAGAGCTCGTGAATGAGTGCGTGTCTTCGTTGACCTGGACGCAAGGATTGAAAATGATTAACAAAGAAGAAAATATTTATCTAATCAGACCCTATCAGTACAGAAGTTCTTTAACCTTGCTTTCGCAACTTGGCCATATTGTCAGTAAGATCCAGAAGAGTGCACCTTGTCCGGAGTCCATAGTATGCATGATCATTTTTAGAGTCGGACCGTAGACTTGGTACATTCTCAGGCGTTTCGCCGGCATCGTAGTCGGCATCGTCAGTGAATGTTCCAAATCCACAGTCCGATTCTGGAAATGATCATGCATACTATGGACTCCGGACAAGGTGCGTCCCTCTAGGTCTTCCTGCCAATATAACAAATTTGCGAAAACAAGGTCAAACAACTTCTATACAACGGAAAGAGACCGCGACAATACAAAAGGCCACACCATTCTGGTTTTCATATCTTCGACTATCAGTACTGTTTGAATAAGAGTTCTAGTCACTCTAGAAAACTTAAAAGCAAGGACTGACAGTTGCATTTTTCCACAATGACATGAGTAACTCTCATGTTTCCACAGAATTTGACTTAGCTTTGCTACCCAAAAGGTATTCTTATTCGTGATTTCAGAGTTGTAGAACTCTTATTTAAGCTTTATTGATAGTCTTGAAGCCTACTTCAGGTGAATATAAGTAAGGCATTGACTGCAATTGCAACAAATTAGTTTACACTTTATATA